CCCGGGGTGGCTGCCCAGCTGGGGCAGTTCCCGGTGCAGGGGCTGGGGCTCCCGGGGTGGCTGCCCAGCTGGGGCAGTTCCCGGTGCAGGGGCTGGGGGTCCCGGGGTGGCTGCCCCAGGGGGACTCGGGCAGCTTCTGGTCGCCAAGGCTGGTGCGATTACGCGGTGGACTTCCCAGAGATTGGAGAACCTGAGGGTTTGTATTTGTATACATTTTACCTCAGGGCAATTCTGTCGGCCTTTTTGTCACGACAAATGGACACAACCAAATGCTGTCTTTGTGTTCTGGTGCACACGCATGAGCAGCCCCAGCTTGGACACGTGGACACGCTGGGCCAGGCGCTCAGGAGCTGTGGGGGGAGGTGGGTCCCTGCGGGAGGCTGGGCTGACCAGCCTCTGTGTGCTCCGGCTCTGACTCCGGCATCTCTTGCTGATGCAGCCCACGACCTCCCACAGTCGGATAATGGGGAAAACATGCACATTGATTGAGTTACTTTTCCGTAAGTCTTTAGAAACCAATAAAAGTGATAAACCTTACATCATATCCTATGAATTCCAAACAAACCCACTTCTTAATGGGTTTTTATCTGTTAAAGAAATGGAGTTAGACATACTTTTAGGTTTAAACAATAGGAAAAGAATTTTTAATATATCTTAAGATGGGTACTCATGGAAAACCATTACAAGAGTGTAAGAGAGACATAGTTTCCCAAGGCTTTTGTTTATTTTCAATGTAACACATTTCTAACAAAGCAGGATCTCCACGTGCTAGCAAGCTGTCTGCTGTTATGAGACTGAGCAACTCCGGCAGAATCGGATCCCCCGAGCCTGCTTCCGCGGAGCCCGTGGCGAATGCAGCTTTTCGTTCTTCCGGACGTTCAGGTTTCCCCGTCGATTTCGTGGGGGAGTAGGAAGGTGGAGAGAGGAAGTAAGCATCTTTGTGTTCATACAGGAGTTTCTTCTTACTGGGTATACGTTTAGCTGTCAACCAGAGAATGACCTCTAAAACAACTCTAGCGCGTTTATTTTTTAAGTCAGAAGAAAATACAGCTGAGGCCATGTGTCCAGGCTCACGCTGAAATGTTAGGATAAGCGGACCCCACACAGGGGTCCCTGTGGGTGGTGCACTGAGCCGGGCAGCACTGCAGGCTGCAGGCAAGGAGCGTGCACGGCTCCACCCCGAGTGACCGCTGCTGGAGGAGCAGGCGGGCCTCCCTGGATCCCAGCATCTCACAGCATGTGCAGGCGTCAGATCAGAGTTCTGTGTCTCCCTTCCCCGCCTGTGTGAAACACAGGAGCGGAGCACGGTGCTCTGTCCTCCTGGGCGGGTTGTGGGGACGCACCCTGAGTGCACAGTGCCTCGCCCGGCTGCCAGCTGTGTCAGGGCTGGTGGCCGCCCGCTGGCCAGGTGCGGAGGTCACCATTCTCTCTGCTCTTGCCAGTGCCTGGGTACATGGCCAGCCCACCGCTGACCCTCTGCTGTGTTTGAACGCACCTGCCTCTTAGTTCCTATCTGGGATGATGTCTTTAACAGAGTCTGAAGGTCATGTCCTCTGTGGGGCCTGCACAGGGCAGATGCCTTCCGCGGCCTCCTTGGGGAGCATTGCCGCGCCTGGTGGCCGCAGGGTTTGGCGGTGAAGACCGGGAATGGCTCAGCACTGGGCACCGGCCGTTCTCCCGGCCACCCTCTCTCACACGCCCTGCGCCGTCTCCTGGCTGCTCCTGCTTGCCGGCCCCAGTTTTGCTGGGCCCTGCAGCTCATCCCCGTCTGCAACCCCAGGGACGCTGGGTCTCCCTGCCTGCCTCCCGAGCGGCGTCTGGGACGGCCGCGGGGGCCCTGCCAAAGCCTCCTCTGCTCGGCAGCTCGGCGGCATCTTCCCAACCGGAAGGCTCCTCGGGGCTCCTCGGGGCTCCGGCCTCAGCCAGCTTCTCCCCAGCCCAGCTCTCCTGCACGGGGCTGGGGTGGCCACGGCTGACAGGCGGTTCCCACCTGAGTCTCCATCCCCGGACTCTGCTCAGTCCAGACCACGTGTCCACTGCTCCCTTGACGTTGGCTTCACTTCTATCCAACGCACCAGCTGAACCGAGAACCAAGCTGCCCACGCCAGCAGCACACCTGCTTCTCCAGGAGACTGGCTCTGGGTCCACGGCCAAGCACAGGGAGCAGAGGCCGCGCAGCCCCCAGCCCCTGGCCCTCGCCTATCCTGCTGCCCCAGGGCCACTTGGTGAGCTGGCAGGTGTTTCCTTTCTGCTTGAGCAGCAGAGACCACTGTGGCTCTAACGTGTCACCGGCGGCTGTGCGAGTCGCGCCTTCCACGTGAGCCAGCCCCGCCTGCTCTCACAGAGAAGCAGGACATGTGTCGGCCACCTGCTTCCGCACGCCAGCGTGGGAAACCCAGCCTGCGTCTTGTCTTCCCCTCATCTGGGACGTTGGCCGCATGCTAAGAACACGGCCCGGGATGTGTTTCCATGGTTGCGCACAACACGGGTTGCTCCCGCTGTCACAGGGCTCCCAGCCCTGAGTGCGAGTCCCTTTTTTCCCAGTCTCCTAAGTAGACAAAGCTTGTTCCTAAACTTAGAAGTTACACTTATGTTCCCAGATCGCTCTTTTGTGCGCTGACATTTCCTTGTCAATGGAACTGTAACTTCTTCCAACAAGAACCTCTCGGTGGGAGCACGGTGAACTCCGGTGGTCACGTCACTGATTACTCCCGAGTGGCTTGGGGCCAAGAGCAGCAGATCCCGTGTGGTTTTCAAATCCCCTCGACCTTCTGCAGTGGTCCTAGTCCAGCTTCCCCTGCCTGCTCTCCCGATCTTTGATCCAAGTGGGGTTGAACCAATTATCCTGACTCATCGCCGAATACTCGGAGCATAGGGTAGCTCTTGGCTTGGGCTCAGGTTGCCCAATGTGTTTTGTTTGTTTATTCCTCCTGCCAAGACCAACGCCCCTGCGATGTAATGATGAATGTGCCTGAGTAATTCCTGACAGCTCCAGGGATTGAAGGGTTCAGAGGAAAAGAAGCCGGTGCCCCTGTGCGGGCAGCGCTGCGCCAGGCACTCTGGGCTCGTCACGGTTAGACCGCAGGACGGGAGCCATGGTCTCCATCTTAGGGAAGGAATTTAACTTTGCGTATGAAATGCTTTGGGCAAATGCTGGGCAGGGAAGCACTAAATGTTTATTGAATGGAGACATATGTGGCCACTAATGACCCATGTGGAGGAGCTGGTATTTGCTGGAGTCCAAGGCACGTCTCCAACACCCTGCACTCAACCACGAGCTATGTGACCCGTCAGTATCATCCCAGTGCTTGTTAATACGTCCCCTGATTCCGAACTTAAAAACACACAGCGTGATTGCCGGTACCTGGGGCTCACACAGGTCCCGGGAGGCTGCCTTGCGTTTCCCACTCTGCACGGACGGACACTGAGGCTCCGGGACTTCCCTGAGAGGGAATGGCGACAGGGCTGAGACTGGCAGCTCTGGGGCCCTGCTTAGAGGGGGCTTTCTCCTGGGGCTGACAGTCTGCCACTGCCCATCCCTTCCGTGCCCCAGCAGCTCCTTGGGGGCAGGGCACAGTTCTCTGAGCTTCCCCAGGGCCACGCTGCAGGCAGCCGTGTAGCCTGGTCGGTTCCCAGACAACTCTGCCACAGCCTCACGGAGGCCCGAGGTGATGGGTGAGTGCCCCCAGGTTGGGGGACTCTCGTGACCCAGCCCTCACGCATGGCTTTGTGGGCTCTGCTGCAGGTGCCGGGGCCGGGTCACCTCCTCAGGACACAGGGCCCACAGACCCAGCTCTCGGCTCCCTCTCCAGGCCACTGGATCGCTGCGGTGCTGATGTGGCAAGTCCAGCGCCCGCTGCCCTGACCCCCGTGCTCATGCACAAAGCTCATTTTAGAATTCGGTTTCGTCAGCCCCTGCTCTGTCCTGCAGGTTATGTCTGATCATAATTCTCAAACGCACACTTTCACAGAGGGATCAAGTGTCAACGCCTCGTGTCTACTCCCGTGGCCCTAGGAGTGAGGCATGCACAGATCCTAGGCCCATGTGACAAGCACGGATTTGGTGCCATCCAAGATGGCAGTCTTGGTAGCATGAAGGAGAGGCCTGATTCGGGAGAGACGCAGCCATTGTTCCAGGTGGACCCTGAATCCACTTCTGCTCCCCTGGCTGAAATGACCTCTTGAAGCCAGGGTCAGCTCATCCGAAGCCCTCAAAGCTGGGGCCCCTCCTCCTGTCTTTATTCTGTAAACAGGTGACTTCAGCTATGTCTGCGAGAGAAAACCGTGTTATTCTGAAGAACGCCTGCAGTATCCAGATGGATGCCATCACCGTGGCGTGAAGTTCATCCTCTATTCCGCTTTTGGTTTGTACATTTCGCGAATTAGGATTTGTTGAAAAATAAACGCCCTGTGCTGGGTGAGTGAATCCATGGTGTCCACTGACATCCCCGTGACTCCGTAACTCCCCCAGGAGGCTCCGGGCAGGATTCTTCCCTCACCGTCCAGAGCAGCCACGGTGCTCATCGTCCGTCAGTTCTGTCTCTCTGTACTTATTATAACTGGAATCGTTTGGTAGACCCATGTCTTGGAGCCGTGATATGATACACGACGTGTTCACACACCAGCATGGGCAGTGTGCTTCCCCCTGGTATTGCTGTTGCCAGGGCTTGATTCTTCTTCCTGCTTTGTGATTTTTTTCATTGCATCCATTTTCCTAATGTTAGCATTTGGATTGTTTCCAGCCAGGGGCTTTTATGAGTAAAACTGAAAGAAATGTCACGTACGTGTCTTGACATAATGCTCCCATGCCTGTCTCTTTTGGATTGTATGAGCTTTCTGTTACTGTCCAATGTCTGCTGCCTCGAGGTAGCAGTGTGCAGAGAGAGCAGAAATCATGTAAAGATGAAATCCCAAAGTTTTTAGGTAAATTCAACAAGGTCCCACCCAACAGGGTAAACTGTATTTCTACATACTTGAAACAAACAACAACAAGCAAAAACGAAATTTCAATGGTGGTATTTACTGTATTATCAAAATTTTCAGTTGGAAAGAATCCAGTGAGCAAGGTACAAGTGCTCAGAGCACAAACACATGAAGAAAAACGTTACAAAGGCAAACCACAGAGGATATACCATGTTCATGGATTAAGCTGTAGGTTCTATATAATCTCGATCAACACCATACAGTATTTGTCCTATGCAATTGGATAAGACAACTATAAAATATATATGAAAATTCAAAGATCCAAGAATATCTTAATCAAAACAAGATGAAAGACTTACTCTGCTAGGAGTCAGCAGTCATTATAGAGACGCAGTCCCCACTGTGGTGTGGTGTTAGCATGAAGAAAGGCAAATGCTCCGACAAAAACAGAAACCACAGAAGCACACCCGTGCACATCCGAGAACCGATTTGTGGAACAGGCAAAGCTCTGGCCATTTGGATACTCACAGAAAAAAATATGAAACGGGTTCCTCCTTCAAATCATTACCCCAAATAACTTGTGGAGGAGCATATATCTAAAATTTAAAATAAAGTAGTAAAATGTTAAGAACAAAAGAGGAGAGTATCTTTGTGTTCTCCTGCAAGGGCGGGGACTGTCCAGTCCACAAGCCACACAAGATCTGTGAAATCGTTTGATCTCACCCTGCCATGGATGGGACTCAGAATTGAATAAATCCATGGGAGGCTGATTTTTAAGCTAATAATTGTGGATGGCCCAAGGGTGATGCTATAAATACCCAAGTGGCCCTTGGCAGAAAAAATGTCCCCACCCCCACTGGCAGTTTCCCTAAGCAGATGGCCAGAGTATTAGTGTCGTGTGTATTACTGTCATGTGTGAAAAAGTGAGGACTGTGATTATCTAAAATTGTATCATTGTTGTATTATTTGTATATAATATAAATACCTACCTTTGCAAAAGGTCTGCAGTTGTAACAGTTGTAACAGCATGGTGTCTGTAATCACATGCTGCGATCGCACGTCGCCTGGAAAGCTACAATTCACATGATGGCAACGTCCAGTCACTGCACAGGTGTGGTGGGCCAGAAATGCTCGTCGGCTCCTTGACGTGACTTCGGGCCTTATTCTAGAAAACTGGTGTCAGGTTTTAAAGCTGAATGTGCCCACAGCCTCAGACAAAGTAAGTCCATACTCACATGAGCACCTGTCTGGGATAGGCTCGCACTGAGGCTGCTCAGCCATGGATTCGGCCTCAAGTCACTCATGCAGAGTGTTTGGAAGAGGATCCCGGGGGCTTGGCTCTGCGTCAGTCTTCCCGTGCACCCAGGCTTCCCGCAGGAGCGGCCTGGGACACACAGGGCAGTGGGCTTCAGGTGGCAGCGGCTGAGCTCCTGGTCCGCTGTGCTGCTGCGGTCGGAGGCCCCTCACCACCTGCTGCCTCAGACCGCACAGCCCCATCCAGGCCACGGCAGGAGACACACACGCCTGCGCCCACACCTGCTGCAGCCCCGGCGGAGACGGAGACACAGGCCGGGCACAGCAGCAGGAGCAGGTCCATGAGTTCCAGCACCTTTCGCCTGAGCTGCTTTCCAGGGGAGAGCTCCACCCTATAGGCATGGACAAAAGTCCCAAACGCAGCGCTGAGTGGCAGGGGTCGGCACAGCCCTCGCCTCGTCGCTTGACACCAAGCGCGGACAGTGTCAGGACAGAACGAGCGGTGGCCTTAGCTGGCAGACTAGGGCCTCATGAGCTGTGAGGAGAGGGGATTGGGGTTAGCAGGCTTTCGCTGAAGGATTTCCAACTTGTGAACAACTGAAGTGCTGAGCTGCCTTCGTCTGCGCACGTGTGGCTATTAAACATAAGCCCAGCTCCTTGGTTATACGGCGTTTGATATCAACGTTGCCTAACGCAGGACCGAAGCCCAGTGTGGGGCGGGCATTGGGCCCAATGGTGAGATGCCCGCACCCCATGTCAGCTTGCCTGGGCTCCAGCGCCAGCCCCTCTCCCAGTGCCGGCTTCCTGCTGGCGCAGGCTTCTTAGGTCCCGGCCACTCCTGCGGGGGCCTGAATCGGGTTCCCAGCTACCAGCTTCTCTCGGGCTCACCTGGTGCTAACGTGGACATGTGCAGAATAAACCATCAGCTGGGAGCTCCCTCTGTCTCAAATAAATAAATACATGTTGTTTTAAGTTAATGAAACAAAGACTGAATAAGGCGCCCAGCTTCTGTGTGTCAACATGATTTCTGTCCCGTGCCCGGGGGCACCCGTACTGTGGTGCCTACCGTCTCACACACTGGTTCCGAGAGCAAGGGGCGAGCACGAGGCAGCACTCACCGAGCCCACGCAGGCATCCTGGGGTCCCACGGCGTGGACGCTGCTGGACTTGTTTATTTTGACATTGGTTCAAAGCAATATTTTGGAGAACGATGGAAACTGATGTTGAAATAGCAGAGTAGTGATGAAAATGACTAAAACTAGCTCCCTGGGCTGTCCAACTCCTGTCCCTTTTCACAAGCGATGCCACCCAGGGTTCTCTGTTTCTCCAAGATGTGTGCCACGTCCGCAGAAAACGCTCCTTGGGTGAACTGGGTGGCTGCCCGGGGCTCACACACGGTCAGCTCCAAAGTCCCGGCTCCTGCGGGGAACCCGCGCCCTGCTCCGGGCTGACCCCCAGCCCCAGCTCCCGCCACAGGCAGAGCCACGGCTGCAGCAGTCCTGGGCTGGTCTCCTGGCCGGGGAGGCGACGCCCACCCGTGTCTCAGGCCGTGCACGGTGACCTCAGCATGACTCAGGCTTTCCAGATTCCTCCCCAGCTGCGTTTGGTCCGCTGTGTAGCTAATTACTGAGTTCCTTCATAATTGCTCGCACAGAGTCCCTGGTGAGAACAGAGTGAAATATCCGGGATTTGGTCCTTTTAAAGGACTCCAGTTTGGCGCATGCTGGCTCCCAAAGCATCTTTCAGAAAACAACCGAAATCCTCCAGCCACCCTCTCCCTGGGGGCCGCCCTGCGGCTCTGACGTTTGCTGTGGATCGAAGGTTTTGCCTCCCCTTGTTGCTTGTGTTCAAGGTGTGTGGCGTGAGAATCTGCCGCTGGTTTCCTGACACCCACACGGACAGTGGAGTGAGCCCCGGGCGAGCAGGCCGGTGGGCGTGCCCCTGGGGAGCGCCTAGACCCTGCTCTGGCCCTCGTGAGCAGGGCTAAGGCAGAGGGTGAGGGTGCAAGGGTGGGAGGCGCTGTCGTGCCGGCTCCCACGGGAAGCAGAGGCTGATGTCCTCAGCGCCTCGGGCCCAGAGTTTGCACCTGCGTCTTCAATGTGACAACGACAAGACAGACGGGACACCTTTGCCTCTGCGTGTGGGATGGCGCAGGTGCACACATCACCCCCAGGTGGAAGGACCCAGCGGATCGGCAGCCGCAGAGACCGCGAGATCTTAGTACAGCAACCAGACCTGGCACAAGGGGAGTGCGAGCCTGAGCAAGGACGCCCCTCGGCACTTCCGTGGCCTCCGGCTAACTCTCCCACATGGGGACTAGCGAGGTCTGGGTGTGCAGGAGCCCCTGACACAGTCCACCCAGTTCTTCCCAGCATCCCCTGCGTCCAGTTCCTGGAGGCTCATGGGGGCTTGCAGGAGGAGCTGGGAAGAGAGTCCTCGCCTTGGAGATTTACCGCCCAACAATCGGTCACAAACATTCGCTTCTTCTGCTCTAAGATCTTTGAGAAGCTGGGCAGCCGCTCCACAGGCCAAGTCCACGGGGGACTTCCAGGCTGTGTCGGACCCGGCTCACGCCCCGGTGCCGGCTGTGCAGCAACAGGGACGAGTCCAGTTCCCAGGCCGAGGCGCCGGCAGGCAGCATTGTGCGTCTGCACGCGTGTAAGTGGTACGGCTGAGGGTCTGCCGGACTCAACGTCCTCATGCTTTCCTGTTTCCTGTGCGATCCGGTGATTCTGAGAGAAACCACCGAGTTCCGGCAAGCGAAAGGACGCAGGCCCAGCCTGCGGCAGACCCAGGGCGCTCGGGCCCCCCGGGCTCCCTCCTGAGTGCCCGTGGCGGCCTCTGCCCCGCTCTAGGCTGCGTCTGCTTTGTCTGCCTTGGCCAGACCTTGTCACCAGGAAGCAAGACGGTTTCTCCAGGCTCTCTGAGGTCGGCTGGGGGTTGTGGGTCCCGGGCAGGGGTCGGTGTCCGGACCCCGCCTCCTGCGGGCACACAGGGAGGCGTGGGGGGCGGTTCTTGCTCCATAGTGGAGAAAGCTGACGACGCTTCAGTACTTTCTCATCTATAGCACAACTCCGTCTCACCGCTGTTCTGCACCTGCTTCCCCCAGGACCTGGTGTCCAGTGGAGCAGCCACTCGCGTTCCAGGGATCAAGAACAAACCGCAGGGCGAACACCCGCACCTGCCTGGGGCCACTGAGAAGTCCCGGAGCGGGTTCCATCCCACCATGCAGCCGTGGATTTAAAATACGCTGCACGTGATCGCAGGAAGCGCTGCACCGCGTCTGGAGGAGTGTTCAGGGGCAAGCTCACTCACCCCGTGAGCTCGTCTGTGTGCTGACGGCACAGGTGAGGGTCACTGCTGCGCTCCGTCCTGCGGCCGCTCTGAGAAACACGGAGGCCACTGTGCCACCCTCACCTGGGCAGAGTTCACGGCACGAGAGCAACATCTCACACAGGGGTGTGGGTAAACTGAGGTATGATTGGGATGAGCGTTTAGCCTGCCGACTGAGGTGCCCACGTCACAGGGCCTGGGTTCAAGTCTCACCCTCGGCTCCAGCTTCCTGCTAATGCAACCCTGGGCTCAACAATTTGGGCTCCTTCCTCCCAAGTGGAAACCTGCGTTGAGTTCCTGGCTCCAGCTTAAGCCCCACCGCAGTCCAGCCCCAGCTGATGAGGGCATTTGGAGAGTGAACCAGTGGACGAGATCTCTCTCTCTCTCTCTGTCTCTCTGCCTAGCAAATAAATGAATAAAATTTGAAAGTAAAACATGAATACATTAAACTACATATTGGGAGATGAGGATTAGAAGGGAATATTTGAATAGCACAAACCCAAATCCTCACTGAGTATCAGCCGGCAACTTCTGTTTGTTTATTTTTGCATTGACAGGGCTAACAGCATTGCATTTGCTGGTTTTGACACACAGCAGGCGCTGTGTCTATTCTCATTTCCAACCAGATACAAATGTAAAAACAGAGAAATGGAAATTATTTCTGGGTGCCCAGCCTTTGAGACAATGGAAATGGTAACAAATGAAGCAAAAATTTAAATAATAGATGTAGGTAATCATTAAATATAATTTTTCTTTTTAAAAAGTTATTTATTGGAGAGAGAGAGAGAACCAGCTCTCAGCTTCTAGTTCCTCCCTAATGGCTACAGCAACTGGGGCCAGGCCAGCCACAGAGCGTGGGGATCTCAACCCGAGTTGTCCACAAGGGCGGCAGGAGCCCGGGGCCCTGCACCGTCGTCACCGTCACCGCCTCCTAGGGTCAGCGTGAATGAGAAGCCGGAGGCAGAGCCGGGGGACGTGGGACGCCACCAGCTGGGTCAAATGCTCCAGGTATTTTTCTTAATACATCAGCATCAAGATACGTCATCCCTAGGAGGCTCCCTGACTCCCAAACAGCTCTGAGCTGAGAACACCAGAAGGCAGGAGTCCGCGCGGGGCTTTCGTGTTTGTGAAACCTTTTGTGTTCTGATGATCAAAACAAGCCGAAGGAAATGTGCTTCGCAGTTCGCCTCCACGGGGTTGAATTCGTGCAAGAGAGAGTGGTGGAGGAGCATGGGAAGCAGACATCGGCACGGAATAACTGAGACATCAGTGGCGTGAAGCATCGCGCTTCTGAAGAGGGTGGAGCCCAACGCGCGGTGGCGTCCTGCAAAGAGCAGAGGCTGGCGCCCGGCTGCTTTCTTAAGAAGGCGCTTTTCAGGGCCGGCGCTGTGGCGGAGCGGGTAAAGCCGCCACCTGCAGTGCCGGCATTCCATACGGGCGCCGGTTCCAGACCTGGTTGCTGCACTTCCGATCCAGCTTTCTGCACTTCCGATCCAGCTTTCTGCTGTGGCCTGGGAAAGCAGTGGACGATGGCCCACGTCCTTGGACCCCTGCACCCCTGTGGGAGACCTGGAGGAAGCTCTTGACTCCTGGCTTTGGATCAGCCCCGCTCTGGCCGTTGTGGCCGTCTGGGGAGTGAACCAGTGGATGAAAGACCTCTCTCTCTCTCTCTCTCTGCCTCTCTGCCTTTCAAATAAAATAAATAAATCTTTTTTAAAAAGTTATTTTTGGTCCATGTATCTTGCACAAATGCAGCTTCAGCTAAGCACCAAGCACGGAACCACAGTTCAGAAAATGCGAAGTGGGGAGAGTGGCCACACTTGAAAGGGAGGCTTGGAAAAGGCCAGTGGAAACAAGATCTGGAGGATCGGAAGGAGTGGGCTGAAGCTGACTTATATGAAGAAAACACTGCAGCGTGGTAACCACAGTCATATAAGTATTGTTTTTTAAGTTGTGAGCTCAGCCAAGAATAAAGACACATAAAAAGAAATAATATTTCTGTCCTGAAATATATGAGTTTTCTCTTCCAAAAGCATGATCAAATATTCTTTGAAGTCAGCATGAAAAATCAATAATGTCATTAAGCAAGGTGAGTCATTTCATATTCTCATCTCAAACAATAAGGGCCCTTGCAGAGTTGAGCCGTGAGACAGACAATCTGCGTGTTGCTATAGGAATTACACGCGTCAGCTGCACCGCAATCCTTTTACAAACAGCAGAGAAATCCATGTTCTGAAAGACTTTTCTACCAGATGGTTACGATCTCATCCAAGTCAAAAATCACACTAAAAGTAGGGATTTCTTTGGTTTTTTTTCTATACTTTTATCAACTGTGTCCATTCCATTTTAAGTCTTTTTAAAATGTATTTGTTTTATCTGTTTGAAAGAGGCAGGCCGACCTCTCATCTGCTCTGGTTCAGCCCCCAAATGCTCACGACGGCCAGGAGCCTGGAACTCGGTGTGGGTACGAGGACCAAGTACGTGGGCCGTCACCCGCTGCCTCCGAAGCTGCCCGCGGACAGAAGGGAGGACCCTGGAGCAGTGCTGCCGCGTGGGACGCAGAGTCCTCCCACCGAGCCTCTGCCCACCACGGCCCCGTCTTTCAGGAAGGCCCGGGGGCCGTGCATTCTGGCTGCGTGTTGTCCTCCCTGTGTCTGAAGACTGAGTTAGAGCCCAGTGATTCCAGGTTCCTTCCTACTCATTTAAAATTAAAGTGGTCGACTATACAAACGCTTGAGATTGAAAACTGCTGCAAGTCAGGGACGTGTGACGAATCTATTCACGATGGAGGGCGACAGATCGTAGGAATCCGAGACTGATGAACGGGGAGGCTGGGGCTTAGAAAGACGTAGGTTAATGATTTACATCCTGTTTGTCTGTGCTGGGTCTGCCGGGATGCCAGTGTCACTCTGGGTTGGTTTGGATCCAGTATCAGTGAAAAAGAGGGAGGGGACGGGGGTCCTCAGGAGACAGGCCTGGCTGTCGGGAAAGAGACAGAGAAGGGGGTTTTGGAAGCTCCAAGAAGGATTTCCACGAGGCTCTGTGCAGCCCACAGGGCGACACGGGGACGGGAGCACAGGTCTCAGACAGGAGGTGGGACGAGGCTCTGTCGTGCCGCCTGTCGTGAGCTCTCCAGGCCACAGGCAGGTCCATCGCCTGGCCTGTGAGTGGACGAGGGCTGCTGATTGTTTCAGATTCCCAGGGTAGCTAACGCAGGTAGGCCGAAGTGCCTGACACATGGCGAGGGGCGAAGGCCAGGGCCTGGGGGCTCAAACCGGGCCCTGAGGTCCCTGACCAGCCTGGTCGCAGGCCAGGGAAGGTTCTCCAGCCCATCTCCCCGAGTAACAGACGCCAGGATCACCACATCCCTTCCATTTCCTTCCCCAGAGCTTGAATTCCAGAACAAGATGGA